GAGTTACAGGTGGATGCAGGCTGCCATGTGTGTGCTGGGGTTAAAAACCAAAATAGGGTCCCCTGCAAGAGCGCCAACTGCTCTTGCTGGCTGAGCCATCTCTTCAACCTCTTGTCCCTGAGTACACAAACTATCCTTTATTTCATAATGACAACTTCCTGTCCTGCTGGGTAGGGCCTCCTCCCTATATCCCCAGGCTCTCACTTTCAATTCCAAACAGCTACTAGAGGGGTTTTCCTAATGAGTGAGACTCGGGGTTACTTTACAGATAGAGTTTGTACTATGGCACAGTTTCGTCTCAGTAGGCTTCCTGTTTGTATGCAACGCTACTCAGAGGATAATTTTGTGGAGTGCCATCAATCACATTTCTTTTTCTTTAGATTATAATTTTACTTTTTGAACTTTTATTACAAATTTATATTGCATGTCAAACATCCCTTCTCCTCACTCCACCTGAATCCCCTTTTCTTAGCCCTTGATCCTTAACCTTAAACCTCCTGTATGTTGCATTTCTACTTTTATGCCATACACTGGTGTGTGTGTGAGAGAGAGTGTATGTGTACATGTATGTGTGTGTGTGTGATTTTATATAAAATCTAGGAACCACAAATCAGAGAAAATACATAGTACTGAAATGTGCAAATAACTGCCTGTGGGGGAGTATTGGAAGTTTCAGTCTTTTGTCAATTATTGTGTGTCACAGCACATTTTTTAATCCATAGATACGCCTAATTTTACTAAATATAAAATATCACTAAATTAAAAATATCATTAGGGAGCTGAGGTGATAACCCAGCTGGTAAAGACCCTGAGCTTGGATTTTGAGCATCATCATGACAGTCATGTGTGGTTAAAACTCTACATCTTGTGGATACAGAGACAGCCAGATTCTGTCTCAAATAATAAGATGGAATGGAGACTTGTCATATTGACCTTTGGCCTCTGTTTCTGTGTGCCCACACATGCACAATTACACACACATATGTGTACACTCACAAAATGAATAAAAATATCAAGGTTGGTGGTGTAACTCATGGTATACGTGACATCAAGGGGTCTGAAACTCAGGACTACAGACACACAGAAACCACTTAAAAGAATGAAGTAATGTGGGGTCAAACACATTTTAGGACAATTTAAACCAGAAAAAGTGAATATTCAGCAGTACAAGTAGAATCAGACACTTGACGGCATCCTCATCTTCGGGTGTTCAACTGGAGCAAATCTTTCTCTGTTCTTTTAAACCTTTGAGACATAGATAAGGTGAGGAGACTAGAGTGAGAAAATGTGCCCTCAGGTGAATTGTCCAGACCACTTACTATCTTGGAGCAGCCTAGCATGGAGGGCCAACGGAGCTGGGGGGTGGGGGTCCACAGTTCAGTGGCTGGATCTGGGTCTTGTCACCTATGTAAGCCTGGAGTCCCTCCGACTCCTCGCCTAAAAAGAGCAAAACCTGCCATAGGAGGTGCTAAACGGATTAAAAGAATAACACATTTGCAACTTTTAGTCAATGGTTTGGCACCTGGAAGTGTTGGTTGCCTTTGTTTTGGCTTGGCCAGTTGTCAGCCTAGGGAAGGGCTCAGCAGAGTGCTGACAAGTTCAGGGTAGGAATCCTTGGCAGAAGACTCCCCCCAAGGGAGGTAGACAAGAGTGTTGATGCTGCTGCTGCAAGAGCCTGGAAAAGTGCGCTCAGAAATTAGTCTTTGGGGCAGACTTCTTGGCTTTAAACCTGGGCATGTTGGAACCCTGAAGAAAATCGAATGGACTCTCTAGCACTGGTTTTCATGACAGACTCTACTACACAAGGATCTGTTGTAGGAAAGCAATCCTTACACAAATAGATGCCCCGTTTCAATGACTCTGAGTGTAGTTCCCTAATGGAATACCATTTTCATTTTCTGAGCAAAGTGCACATACAAAAAGCTCTCGGAGGGAAAAGCAAAGATAAGAAAGCTCATTTAGTACAATGCAGTGTCTTCCTGACGAATACCTCTCTTGGAACTTCATATTTGTACGATGTCTTGTGTGCGGCACATGCTCAATAATTACACACTGATTTCATTTTTCATCCTTTCAACAACAACACTGAAAGGCCTGTTTTAAAATATTTGCAGCTTCCATACTGCTTTAATGAATACCATCAACAGTAATTTTGGTAAGTTTTCCATTGAATTCTGGAAGTACTTAACCACTTGGGTTCCTATGTCAACTTACTACAGCTAAACACACAGGACCTCACATCTGGGAGTCATCTGTGTGAAAAGAATACACTTGTTCTCTTTTCAAGTGTCCTAAGCATAAATTGTATTTAATTTAGCAGTTCAAAAATAAGTCAATTCAGCCCATAACAATGAAGTTAATCTTTTTGAAGGTTGGCCTGATCTCCAAAGAGGTTTCTAGACTAGCCAAGGCTACATAATGAGCAATTGTTTTTAAAAAATATTTGTGCTTATGCCAGGCATGGTGGCAAATGCCTTTAATCTCAGCAATTGGAAGGCAAAGGCAGGTGGATCTCTGAGTTGGAGGCCAGTCTGATCTACATAGTGAATTCCAGGTCATCCAGGACAACACATAGAAATCCTGTCAAAAAGAAAAAAAAGTCATCATGGTGGTGGTGCATCCCTTTAAACTCAGAACTTGGGAGGCAGAGGCAGGCCAATCTCTGTGAGTTTGAGGCTAGCTTGGTCTACAGAACAAGCTGTAGGACATCCATGGCTACACAGAGAGACCCTGTGTCAAATAATAAATAAATGGATGGATAGATAGATAGATAGATAGATAGATAGATAGATAATGTATATGGAATAAAAAGTCAACATCCCATACACATGCACACACAGATGGAGAAATCGAGAAGAGGGGAGAGGAGGGAGGAGAGGTGAGGGAGAGAGAGAGAGAGAGAGAGAGAGAGAGAGAGAGAGAGAGAGAGAGAGAGAGAGAGAGAGAGAGATTAACATTATACTGGAGAGAAAAGCAACACAGTCCAGCATCATTAAGCAACCCCATTGCAGGTGCTCCACTTCCTGTGAATAGCTAATGGTTATGGTTATTCTGGTGTCATTCAAAAGGCAGCCTTAAGAATACCTCTGTGAGCTGGAGAAATGTCTCAGTGGATACAGTTCTTATCATGCAAGTGTGAGGACAGGAGTTCAGATCCCCCAACCTACATGAAAAGTCAGGTAGATGTGGCTTTTCCTATAGCTCCCAGTGTCAGTAGCCAGAACTGGCAAGCCCCAGATTCAACAAGAGACCCTGGCTCAAATAACAAAGTGAAGAGCTATCAAAGGCATCCTACATTGATATCGGACCTCCACACCCATATGCACTTAGACATGCATGTGTGCCTACACCCACCCACCCACACACACACACACACACAAACACACACACACACACAAACATGTATATACTGTAATAAAGAGGGAAGGAGAGAGGGAGGAAGCGGGGGGGGGGGGCAGGGGACGTAGAAAACTCCTTTGTTATAAAAATGGGTGACTTGCTTTGTCATCAGAACAGGGTCATTTACTAGCATCTCTGTGTCCAAGGGGGTTGACTCCTGGAAATAATAATAATGGTTTTCTGTTTGAATATTGACTACATGTTCAACAATAGTCAAAGCCTTGCATGTGCATCAATTCAGTTGTGTTTTACAAAACTCCCATAAGCTGAACACTTGTTATATCCTGTATAGGGATAAGAAAATGAAGAAGACAGGAATAAAGTTCACCGGAAGTTATCCAGAGTCTGGCAGGCACACAGGCCACTGTGCCTCAAAATACTATGCTCTGGTTTGGAAAAAGTAAGCTTGAACAGTTTTTATGAGACAGAGTAAGTCACTGAGTGTGCGTGTGCATGTGTATGCATGTGTGTGTGTGTGTGTGTGTGTGTGTATGTGTGTGTGTGTGTGTGTGTGTGTGTGTGCACGTGTTTGGAGAAGTACATCTGCGGCAGTGTGCATAGCTAGAAACCCCCAGGCCTCCTCCTGTCCCTACTTCCCCAGTGCTAGAACTACAGGCCTAAGCCGCTGGGCCTGGTTTTTCACATGGATACTGGGAATCCAACTTGTGTCTTGTGTCTTCTAGCCAGCCACTTTTATTAGAATTTTTGGGAAAACAGAATTCTCTCCACAGGAAGAGAATGTCAAACTGCCAAACAAACAAACAAAAAACTTTCCAGTAAAGGGTTCAGTAAATAAAATCAGGAAAATTGGGTGTTGTTAAACCTTAACATACAACTGGAAATTCTAAGGAACCAGGAACAAAGCCACTCCATGATACCTCTGTTCAGTACAGAGCCATGTGGTCTATTTAAGGCAGTGGTTCTCAACCTTCCTAATGCTTCAACCCTTAACACAGTTCCTCATGTTGTGTTGACCCCCAACCACAAAATTATTACGTTGCTAATTCATAACTGCAATTTTGCTGCTGTTATGAATGGTAATGGGAATATCTGACATGCAGGATATCTGAGGACCCATGGGTTGAGAGTGAGTTAAACTCTGGCTACTGACACTGGGAGTTATAGGAAAAGCCACATCTACCTGGCTCTTCATGTAGTTTGGGGAATCTGAACTCCTGTCCTCACACCTGCATGACAAGAACCTTATCTATTGAGACATTTCTCCAGCTCACAGAGGTGTTCTTAAGGCTAGCTTTTGAATGACACCAGAATAACCATTAGCTATTCGCAGGAAGTGGAGCACCTGGAGTGGGGGGGGGTTGCTTGATGGTACTGGACTGTGTTGCTTTTCTCTCCAGTATAATGTTAATCTCTCTCTCTCTCTCTCTCTCTCTCTCTCTCTCTCTCTCTCTCTCTCTCTCTCTCTCTCTCTCCCCTCTCTCTCCTTCCCTCTTCTCTCTCTATCCCCTACCCCCCCCCCCCCGTTTCTTGATTCCTCCCTCTGTGTGTGTGCATGTGTATGGGATGTTTACTCAAGTGCTGTGGTATAGTAACCCTCTGGGGAAGTGGATTGCCTCTTGTTGACAGCATAGAGAATGAAACTGAGCCAAACCTGAAGGCCCTTAGGAAGGTCAGATGGCTTGAGCCTCTACCAGGATACCTCAGTCCCACACTGTGTTTCAAGCCACCATCCCTCATTTCTCATTTCCTACGCCCCTTTTTGTGGGAGAACTGCAAAAAAAAATCACCATGGTAGTGTTGAGATTCCAGACTCTTAGTTGGTTGCTTCCTGGTGAAGGTAAGACAAGCATTTATCTTTTTTGTTTGTTTGTTTTTAATCTTTCTTTAAATTTCCCCAGGTCACCGAGTCTGATCCTTTCTGAATCTCTGATTGTCACTTGTTTTTCTTTGAGGAGAACAGTTCTCAAAAGAAAGTACACGAGGGAGTTCTCCAGCAGAAGTGGAAAATATTTGGGATTGGGTGGTGAACATTTTTAAGCAAGAAGGAATAGGGAAACAGTGGAGAGAGAATTTCTTTCTTTTTTTCAGAGTCCCACCTTAGTCAGGGAGTATCAGGTGAGAGTCATTCTGAAAGGATTACCTGGCCCTCAACCCCTGGGAATTCTCAGCCTGTATTTGTTTTTGTCTCCCAACAGAGGTGTGGCAGGAAGAGGTCATGGAGAAGGTGAGCAAGATGTTAAATGTTAAATGCTCCACTTCCTCGCTGTGGAGTAACACTGTGCTCTCAAACCAGGCAAGCTCAAATCTCTCTCTCTTTTTCTCTCTCAAATCAAACTCTTCCTCATCATGTCTTTTCCCTTAACTGGAACATCTCTTGCTAATATTGACTGCACAAGGATGGAGCTTGGCAAACTCCTTCAAAAAGGAAAAAGAACAACAAACCAAAAACTTGTGTTTTCCATTGTCCATACAATAGACAATTTTGAGTTTTAGGCACATTGTTCTCATTATTTAAAATTCCATGAGTTAGACTTGCACAGTTGAGTTTAGGAAGGAGCCAGTGTTGAATCTAGTGGTAATCCCAGCTACTGGGGAGGCTGAGGTAAGAGGATCCAAATTCATGGCTAATCTTGGCAGATTAATGAAACACTGTTTCAAAATTAAAGAATACAAAAGAAGGGGTGTGAGAAGTGGTGGCACATGCCTTTAATACCAGCACTGGAAATGATGCTGAATGTGTCTCTAAGCTAATTTGAATCTTTCCTAAGTCTACAAACTAAAAGAGGGGTCTAGATAGTCCCTAAGAATAATCTTACTCTGAAAATACTTAAATTGTATCTAACTATATCTTATACAGAGACTCTACTCTTTCATGGTAAATAAAAGCCATTGAATGGTGGTATTATACTTCGCTAAAAGCTGTTATGAACGCTTACTAATCTTGACACAGTAGACAGTAATCAGGGAATTCAAACACCAAGTGAATATGGTTGACGCAGAGCAACAAAAGCAGGCACCGACGTTTAGACGGAGCTCACCTAGGTTGCCTATCAATCTACTTTTAGCAGTTTACTAAAAGGTAATGACTGTTTATCCTTTGGAAAGCCTCATGTAAACCCAAGACTACTGGGAAAAGGGCCCAGTCATCATTTGTCAGAGTATAACATTTTCATTTCCCTTATTTATGATGAACCTAGAAACTCAAACAATGTAAGGAGTGGGTACTGGGCGTTGCCAATGTAATCAAACTGTGCTTTGTAAAAGAAGTCTTGTATACTGTAAGAGGACTATTATGTGAGTTGGTGGACAATTTCTTGAACACTTAAGATCTGAGCAGAGTGGAGTCTTAATTAAGAGGAATTGATTCATCTAACTCTTTTTTTCCCACCCAGTTGGCCTCCTACACTTACCGAACCTTTCCCCTTTCTTGAAGCTCCTCCAGTTCTCGTTAGCTTTCATGTAAATTTTGGCATTCTCATCCAACAGCTACTCCTCAGTGTGATGGGAAGGCAGCCTGGTCCACTGGAAAGAACACAGGTTTTGAAGTAAAATAGTCTTCTTTGGAATTATTCTACCATCTACTACCTGCGTGGCTTAGGGTAAATGATTTAACTTCTCTTTGTTCGGTTTGGAACGACACTCTCAGCTTTAAGAGGTACTGTGGATTGTCAGTGCTTGAATGGGAGTGAAGACAAACACTGAGAAATAACCCAACTAATCACAGGTGGAATTAAGAAAACAGCCATCTTTGGTGGAAATTTTGAGTAAGATTATAATCTGGCCTTGTTACTGTCCATTTTAAATTTCAACAAGTCCCCCTTGTTTTTAGAGCTGCGATCTTACACACATAGCTGACAAGTCCATCATGCTGATTCCAATCTCTAAGGCCACATTATCTTTCCTCATACCTCTCACTGCTCTCCAAGTTCCTCCAGACTGAGGGCTTTGTCTTAGGCTGTGTTGGTGTCTTGCTGAGAAACTGCATTCATGCTATCCCCTCTTCCTGAACTGATGCATTCCCTCCTTGGCGTACAGCCAAGTGTTAGTCACCTCTCTACTTTGTTTAACTGCTTTTGTCCTCAGTGTTCTCTTCAGACCCTCTGAGCCAGCCTGGCTTGTGGGTAGTCATAATGTCCCGTATTCTTCAGCCATGGTGCTAATCACCCTGATCAAGGATTTCCCATCAGCTATGAATCCTCCAAACACTGTGTGCTCATTGAGAGCTAGATTATGGTGTTCTCTTACCATGCCTGGTACAAACCATGCAACCACTGAAGAACTCACGGTAGACAGGCAAATGATGCATGCGCAGGCCCAGTTTCTGCTTCTTGGTGGGGCCAGTTACGTGACTTTATGCAGCCATGAGAAAGACACGAGCTTCCTGCTTGTTTCTTCCTTTCTACTCCCAATTCTAATAGAAAAGGAAGAAATGGGATAGGCAGACTGCTTAAATGTTGAGGGACACTCCACTGATTGCTTTTCCCCAAAAGCCAATCTTGAAGGAGCAAGCTTGAGGCATAGTTGATTTTATAAAGTTAATCATAGTTTTATAAACTTAATTTACTTCAACAAGTGTATATGGTGTAATTTTCATAACTTAGGTATGAGGGTGTGTTACCAAATCACAGTCATACACAGGAAACAAAAAAAAGCTTTTTTTTTCTTTTAGTTGAAACAGGGTTTCTCTGTGTTGCCCTGGCTGTCCTAGAACTTAATCTGTAGACCAGCCTGGCTCTAACTCAGAGACCCACCTTCCTCTGCCTCCAGAGGGCTGGGATCAGAGGCATGTACCACCACCACAACCAGGCCAAAAAACAAAACAACAAAAAATCCTTTTTTATTAGTCACCTCTAGGTGCTTCTCTCACATAATATACATTGCGACTACAGTTTCCCACCTCCACTCTTCCCAGTGCTCCCCATCCCCCAGCTGCCCTGTCCCCAGATTCACTTCCCCTCAATTTCCTTTCAGAAAAGAGCAGGTTTCCCAGGAATAGCAACTGAACATGGCATAGCAATTATAATAAAACTAGGCACAAACCCTCATATCAGGGCTGGGTAAGACACCCCAGTAGGAGGAAAAGGGTCCCAAGAGCAGGCAAAGGGGTCAGAGACACCCCACTCCCACTGTCAGGAGTTCCATAAGAACACCAATCTATGCAAGCATAACACACATGCAGAGGACCTAGTGTGAACCCATGCAGGCGCCATGATTGCCGCTTCCATCTCTGTGAGCCCCTGTAAGCCCTACTTAGTTGATAAACTATTAAATTAATGAAGATGATGTTTCTTAAATTAATTTCTCCTTAGAGAACTTCAGAGTCAGTTCAAGACACACTAAACCAAGTTCTGAGCAGAAAAATTTATTTTCTCCAGAGGGACAAAGAACAGGGAATAAGGGACAAAGATAGGAGATAGAGGACAAGGGAGAAGGGTGAGGGTAATTTGTCCCAGAGATGGAGACAAAGAACTGCCTCTGGGCAGACAGGAGACACATGTCCCATAGGCAAATGGTGGTTTATAAAGGTAAAAGAGGAAAGCCTGTGTTAGGATGAGGTGTTTAACTTTAATTGGGCTTGTTAATTAGATAAGTCAAATGGGGCTTTTGATTGATGGACTTCAATATTTTGGTAGCCGGGCCTTGGTAGTCAGCCTCAGGAGAAGGAAGAGGCCAAATAAAGTACTGGAGCTTGGGGGCTAGCTTTGGGAATACAATCTAAGTTTTCATCAAGGCAGAGGGAATAGGGGAGAAGGATAAGGCCTGCCAGAGCCATGTTAGCCATGTTTAGGCTGGCTAGAGTCCCTTCAGTTCCTATGTGTGTCAGACCCAAACATAGAACTGTGTGCAACTACTAATTTTTCGTCATATCTATTAACTGCTTGAATCACCATTTCTGCTCAGTGTTTCCATTCCAGACTTTTCCTGCATACCTCTGTGTAGACCTGCAATCAGATATACCACACCACTATGTCCTTAGGGTTCACTGCCTCGCCTTGTTTTCTCAGATAAACCATGCCTGCAATGACAAGGGTCTGTCTTTCAAACTCAGTGAAGTCCTACTGCACTTACACAACATAAGGTCTGTTTTATTGCTTTGCTCTTAGCTTGGGGGTTTTACTGCTTACTTTATCAATTGTACTTTTTTGTCCCTTAATGTTGGACCACTGCTTTTAAGATTATATTCTATGTGGCAGTGGGCACTCAGAAGTCTCTTCTAAAGCATTATGGGTGCCATGACATTGCTGAAGAAGATGAATTCTAAGGAAAGCTATCAACTAAATGTGAAGATCTGCTGTTATAGGGATGAAGGTAGTCAGGGACTGACTTGTGGAGGTTACTGTGGAGCAGGAAAACCAAATTTTCCTTCTTTATGAAAAATAAACACTCACCTTTGGAAATCACTGTGAAGACATCATTGTAAAGTATGTTACATTTAATGAGAAATAATGTTGCTAGACCATTGGTGGCTCTTCATAATGTTACTATATCTACCACAAAAGGATGCTTGGGTTACTCCCAATCTCCAAAAACCTGAATGCTCTACAAGTGTCCCTTGTTATAAAAGTTGTGAAAAAGTATTATACGGGGGTGGGAGGAGAGGTGGGAGAAGGAGTGGGAGGGAGAAAAAAATATTATGAAGATTTTTTTAGATGAGAAATCAGAAAATTTTCTTCTGAAAACTACAATGTTCTCTAATAGTGAAGTTAGCAGTTAGAACTTGACTCTCATAATGAATGGGCCTGCTTGCAATTCCAGCACTTGGGAGGCAGAGGAAGGAGGATTGCAGATTTGAGGCCAGCACACACACAATTTTTAGCTGTGTTTAAAGGTTTAATATATTAAGATTCTGACTTGAGAGTGGGGGGGAACATTAGAGGGTTTAGAGGGAGGGAATATGGAAGGGGCTACAGGGAGATAAGGGAAATAGTATAATTATATCTTAATTAAAAGTGAAAATTAAATAAAGATTGAGGTAATGGAGGAAAAGGAAGATTTTGTTCTTCATCCAATACTGTGTGTCATCAAAGTAGTATGCTTGTGTGATCTGCATTTCTGCTCACAACTCCTATAGTTCCTTACAAGTAGCATTGGAAAGAATGAGAAATCACAAGAAGAAACCATATTGCTTTTAGGAGGCGCATGGGAATACAGAACCTGGAGAATTGACTGTAGACTTGAACACAACTCCACAAAACCACAGAAATAGTCTGCACCGGCACTCAG